TAAGGTTGCTATAAGAGCAGTCAGAGAGAGTGTGGAACAAAATTCATGAACTTGGAAAAAATGATCATCCCTCATTGAACTAAAGGTTAGGAGTTCTTAAAAATATAAATTATGGAATTCTCTTTTTAAACTGAGAGAACAAAGCACATGTTGATAGTTTGGGCTTTGTTTTTGAACATGGCTGCTGTAAAGTATGAGCACTGCCCTCACTCAGAGTGTCCTAGGTACTCTGTAGAGAAGCTGTACCATGTATAGACTGACCCTGGTAGGCACTTGTTTGCAGAATTTTAATTTCTTTTGATAGATTTATTTTTGCTTTTTATAATTTATATTTATGAATCCATCAAATAGATATTAAGGTAAACCTCATTGATCCTTTACCTCTTAAACACATTTTGCCCAGCAAGAAATGTGCCAAGAAAGATAAATTACGGATGATTTGGTTTGCTTTTATGTCACTCAAGTTATCTAACAAAGATGTTATCATTTTTCAAAATTGACTATATTGTTTCATTGTAATTTAATTCAAGCAAAGTATTCAAATCATGCTGAATAATTTCTTTTTCCATTTCTAATCCACTCTCTTACTTATCCTTGCCCTTTGTAAATCCTGAATAATTGAATTTTTCTTCTTGATATTTCAGTTACAGCTAGGTAGGCTTTTGGTTTCAGTAGTCAATATGGAAAAGACTTTAGGGAAAGGAATATGGTTTTTAGGTATTTTCTGATTCCTCTGAAAATGACACATATAACACAAAAATAAGCAAAATTGGAATATATGTAGATCTGAAATAGCATTACAAATTTAAGATCTAGTTCTCATATGTTCCTTTAAAATTTTTTCTCTTAATTAAATAGATAATACAGGTTATTTTAGATGTATACCCTAGAACATACTTTTAAGCATGTATTATTAAATCATAATGAAATCTGAAACTATCTATTGTTTTTCCATATAACATGAACCTACACAGTATTTTTGTAGTCTATGAGATCAGAAAAATGTAATAAACATTTACAAAGAGAATATTAGTCCTGTACAATATAATTTGTTGTCTTTATATTTCAAATCTCCACAAAGCCTGACATAGTTCCCTTTAATGGCATAGAGTTTAGTACAGAATAATTAAATGAGTGGAGAACCACTTACAGTTCTTAGCTGAAGTATATTCCTTTTACTTAAATATTGAGAATAACATTATTTTTATTAATTGACCAACGAAAAATAAATTGTGTTTGTGTTCATTTTGCTCATTTAATTTTAAAAACATTTGATGTTTTAAAAGTTCTAAATAAGGATAGCTGCATAAATTAATAATTCCTTAGCTTATATAAAAATAGAAAAGCTAATGTGTAATCATATCTAATTAATGACTTCCTGATATTTGGTGGGCAAAGTCAAGAAAACACAAAGCATAAAACATCTGAGAAAAACACTTTAAGAGGAAAATTCCTCTAATTAATGAAGAATAGAAGGGACTAGACAATATATTTTTATGTAAATCAAATAATTATAATTTGATGGTTTCTTTTAGAAATATAATGATTAATTACAGAGATTTGACATGCACTTAATCTAGTTTTTTCAGCTTCTTAATTAAAAGAGGAAGTCCATATCCTCCCCACCCCCCACACTCACACACTGGAGTTTGAACACAGGGCCTTTGCACTAAACTATAGTTTCTTCTTTTAAGGTAAGATCTTAGTTGCTAAATTGCCCAAGATAGCCTCAAACTCACTATCCTGAATCAGCCTCCCAGAGCACTGATATTGCACATGTGTGCCACTGCACCTGGCATTCTCATTTTTATGAATATCTCATAGGATACATATTCTAAGATATATTTTTGAAAACATATTTTGATATTCTGGACAAAACAGAGTCTATAATTTATGATGCTACTTATAAAGTTAGAAGACTTCCTTCTCTCCTTTTTTCACAGTAAGTGCAAAAGATTTCAGTCTTGTTAATCAAGAGAGTGCATTATTATGGACCTTTGAAGTCGTCTTCATTAATAGTTGCAAATAGCTGTTATGTTACCAATCTTGATTAAATAGGAAAAAGAATTATGCCTTTGCCTTGCTATTTTTGATATATGAATGATGATAACTACCTTAGTTTTCTTTTTTCTTACTGGTTACTTTTTATTTGGGAATGCTGTGTTTAAGTTCCTCTTTGATTGATTATGGTTCAAAAAATGACACAAGTATACATAACATTGCAGAGACAAGGGTCCTTGCTTTGCAAAATGAAAATATACGTAAGTAAATCTACTTCAGAGTGAGTCAATACAGGAAACTGGTTTTGTTATGCCAAAATAATCA